CATTATCCAGTTTCTTTTCGTAGCGATACCGTTTAGCCCTATGAGAAGAAGCATCTTAAACCTTTGAACTACAAGGAATATGTCGGAAATTCGCGGTCAGATTTTATTATGCTATACGATTATACCATCGCTTTTATGGAGTTCGACGAGCTGCAACCATTTGAGAAGGTGAGCTCTGCATTTTTGAAATATGTCGTTGTATTTATTTTAAATATATATTCTCGTTAGCAAGCGGTCTATCGGTACGTCTGTGGTGTGGATAACCTGCTCAACTCAGCATATTTCACTTGCTGCCTTGCCTATGAAGAGAAGCTGATGGTTTTGAACTCGTGTGAATACCTCTGCGTTGACCCCATGCCAATGACTGGCGATGAGCCATGGGCACAGCATTTGTTCACTAATAGCGAAGACTTGGATAGATATAAGTGAGCCTTAATCGAACTATTTGCGCTAGAAACATATGCTGCACTCCGACCAAAAACATTGTGTTTCAGATCAATAATACCACGAAAAGCGGCACTGTGGCAAAGTTTGGTAGTTCCATTTCATGATCTCAATCTTCAGTTTGATGAGTTTTGTCTACTGAAGGCACTTGTTTGTTGGCACATCAGTAAGTGTTTTAAATTCTGGAAATGGTCAGCCTTGACTTCCCATTAGCCATGAAGAAGTTAATCTTTCTTGCATCCGTTCAGAAAGAGACAGCGATCACTCCTTATTACTTATCTACGTAGACTTGTCTACATCACGATACTAATCAGTTTCTGACGAAATTATTACTGAATTGTATAGGTCACTATAAACTCAGCGAAAGTGGGCGGCGAGTATGCAGCCGACAGCGCAACCTCCTCATCAGATGTCTCAATGATCTCGCCTTGGAACGATCGAGTCATCCAGAAGAATGGATGGGAAACTTGATTTTGTTCATGTCTTGCGTATTCGTAAGTTCCTTTCATTCATACATACTTATGCGCTTGCCGGTCTTGCTCGTTGTATTTCGCTTGCAGCTTTGAGAAATTGTCGTATAGCCTTCGTTTCTTGTTCCATTTTACATTTTTCAGCAACAACTGGTGGAACTCGTCAACTCTCTAGTTATGATCACATTCTTCAACTTATACGATTACGATGCTGTTGTAAAGGACTTCTTCAAAGAAGATGGATATTGATAATGTTAAGAATTTTCAAATTTAATAAGTAAGGGCATCGCAAAAAAATGTAATCACTTTTTTTGTTGAGGCTCTTTACCTTTGAAGTATTTTTAGGCTTTAATGGTATTTTTGAAGGGCTGTGTTGAGCTTGATTTCCATTTATGAACAGATCTTATACCACTTTCTAGTAGGTCATGCAAAGTTGAGAGAGGGAAATCGTACTTGAAGTGTCGAGGTTTGTCCAAAGACAGTATTATGAATAACTCTACGAACCTTTATACATCGGGGTTATTAAGTACGTTGAGTTCAGTTGTCATAGCCATGTTACTCAAGGTTTATTTACGCTAATTCTTGGAACGTTAAATTCACTCCAACTTTACACCGTCCTCCTATCGTGATCGTCAAGGATCAGAACAACCCTTTGAAATGAATCAGGCAAGGAAAGATTCGAATGAAAGCAATTTAACAGACAAAATTTTTTTTGAACACTATATAAATCAGAAACGCTCCAAAAGCAAGCGTTCATGTTAGTTGTTTTTATCTTGTAATGATTCTTGAAATATATCATCCGCTTATGTACAAATGCTGTTTTGTTGGTTCTCAGGGTCATTTCAGTAAGATTTGCGATTGTCTTTCAAGAAATAAATATATGTCAGTTGACAGAACTCTTCCCTCATTTTTGATTTTATTATACTCCTTGGGAAATAATAGAGGAACCGATACTTCATGATGATTCGAGTCAAGTAGATAAACAGCGGCTAGAAGTAGATAGATCACAGAATGACACAGAAACGTATAAAACTATTGCAAATGCATATGACTGTTATTTTGGAAGTTTTCTATTGTTGATACAAATTCTTTAAATACAAGGCAAAACAAAGGCTGTTCCGCATAAAGATCGGCGTACATGGAGATTGTGTCTCCTCTTTTTCACATATAGACGCAGTGACAGAAGGTCTCAAGCAACAGCCTCCATGTGCTCTCCTGTATGCAGATGATGTGGTGTTAACGGCAAAAAACAGAAAAGAA